CCCCCCCCCCCTTCCCTCCTTTCCCAAACCTTCAAGGCCTCCTTGCCAGTAGGCACCAGCCCAGCCCTCCAGCACCTGAGGCTGCCTCCTGGCTGCAGAGAGAAGCTTCCTCAGTGCTGTCCTGCCCGATCCAGATCTGTCTGCTCTCCCCACACAGCCTGTGGGCCTTGTGCAGTCACACTGGCCTCCCTGCCTCCAGCAGACCCTCCACTGCCCCTGTGTGGGTCACCCTCCTGGGCTCCCTGTGCAGCACCTCTGCCTCATTTAGGAAGCCAGCTGGGGAGCAGGCCACTGGCCCTGGAAGTCCCACCTCCACTCGTGCTCCCCTGGCCAACTCCTGACAGCGTGTGCTCCCCCACATTCCTGGGTAGACCACCACATTCACCCTGTCCTCACCTCCCCCCCTCCTCCCCAAGAACATCTCCTGAGAACTAAAACCTATCTCTCTGCAGCCAGATGCCTGAGCCAAGCCTCCCTGCTACAGGCAGCGGGTCCTGTGTCCCTGATCTTCCATGCCCTCAGTGTCTTGGGTCCCTTCCACTTTCGAGCCCCAGTATCTGACGGCCCTCCCTTGGCGTGCTCCCCACCGGTCCTGTCTGTCCTCACCCTAGTGCCTTGATGAGCAAACCGGCCAGGACCCCGTGTCAGACACCGCAGGCCACACCATTCTCGAGTATGTCTGTGTCCCTGGCCTGGCCTGGGATAGTGGGGCCGGGCCATTGCTTGTGGGGAATGGGGCAGCAGGGCTGGCTCGTTCCCTCGCTCATTCCTTCATTACACACAGACCCTACTGAGTGCCAGTTGCCCGGCCATCTTTCTTCCACACCCACCCCACAGTCCTGAGAACCTCAAAGTTTCCAGAAAGCCCAACCATGTGCCTCACCCCTGTGTGGTCTTTCTTCCCCAGAAAGTGTCCTGTGATCTGGGCCTGGCTCTCCAGCACCCCGGCCTGCACGGACATCTGGGAAGGGAGACCAGAGGCAGGGGCCACTCCCATGGGGACCCCTGCGCCGACCTGGGCCATGAGCATCCCAGGGGGCTGGCAGAGCAGGTGGGCGGTGGATGGGAGGAGAGCTCGGCTCGTGGGCTGACCGGTGGCATGCAGGCCAACGTCAGTGTTCTCTGCCCTCGGGGAAGGACCCTCAGCCTGTGGGTGCAAGCAAGGCCTCTAGGCTGACAAGATGGGCCTGGCCAGGCTGGAGCACAGGAAGTGGGCAGAGAGGCCAGGGGGCGCAGGGGGACGGTGTGGGGAGAGACAGGCGGCATCTGTCCTGTGTTCCCTCCACTACTCAAGCTTGCACAGAGAATCTGTAAATACAGGGCGAACTCCCCCAGCCTGTGCTCCTTCAGAACATTGCCACCAGCACTGCATGTCCAGGCCACTCCTGCCGGGTCCTATGCCTCCCACCCACCCACCATGCTGCCTCTGTCCTAGCCCCAGGGACCCCAGCCTGGGTCAGTGCGTGTGCCGCGCGAGGGTGGCTCTGCCCACACCTGCCTAATGTCAGGTGTCTGCCTCCACTGTGAGGTATGTCTTGAAGTGAACCCTCCTCGTGTTCCCACCGTCCACACGCATGCAGCACGCTCCAGGAGAGGTCACATGCCCTTCCCCCTCTGCACCACCGGATGTCAGCAGGAACTGTTGAGGTGACACCCTCCCTAATGAGTGGAGGGACCCAGGGGGAGGGTTCCGGAGAAGCAAGTAGCCAGGCCTTGTGAGGACACAGCTGGAAATAACACAGGGCGGGACCTGAGTGGGGGTGGTGGGGTACTCTTTCAGGATCCTTCTTCAGCCTCTACGGCCTTCCCATATAGGAGTCCACCTCTGTCTCCCTCTGGGGGAGGCCTGGCTGGTCACCCACGAGGCTCCTTTCTGCCTCCGACCGAGATAGGACTGCTGTGGCTGGTCCTGGAGGCCACACCGGGCCAGGGAGGTGACCGTGGGAGCCAGGCTGATGATTTTCTATCCATGCACCTTGGAGCATCCAGGAGCCCAGGAGAGGTGCCTTGGGGGCCAGTTGGTGGGCGAGGCTGGGGACCAACTGTCCCAGTTTCCCCAGGACTGTAAGCTCAGCTGGTCACCCCCAGTGAGGTTGCCCTTGCCCCTGCACTCCATGAACCAGGATGCCTCACTGATGCAGGACCACACAGGCCGTGATTTCACACAGATGTGGACCTCTTGCTACTGATGAGCCGGCCCGCGTACTCGCGGTCAAAATGAAAATGTGAGATGAACAGATGGGTGCGTGGAGGCAGTGGTCAGCAGCGGGACAGCCAGGCAGAATAGCCCGGGGCTGTGGGCACACAGATGTTCCCGCAACCATTCCAACCGTGGGCCGTTCTCCACAGGCAACACTTGGAAGGTCTGACGTCACGGTCTGGTGCGGGGCTTTCCGATGGGGGCTGGCTTCCTCCAGCTTGTCCTCTGTGGTCACAGCCTTGCTTCAGTGAGGAGGGGTGGGGAGGGTCTGCTAGGAGGAAACTCACTCACTCCATTTCTCTCTTCTTTACTTGGAGACTTGGGACACGTGGAAAAGAAAGGCACCCCTTAGTTCAGACACACTCCGTCAGGCCTGTGGTGCTGGCCTCCTGGCCAGATGCCAGAGCCAGGACTCATGCCGGGCGGAGGCTGGGAGGGGGACAGAGAGCCCAGAGCCTGCCCCCCGCCAGGACCCCTCAGCTCCCAGGTCAGAGCCTGCCTTCCATCAAGCTTCCCTTATGCCCCCCAGGCCATGCCTTGGGGAGAGCAGAGCCGGGACTTCCCAGCTCACAGCTTCTGGCAGCAGCCTGGTTCCGGGGTGCTGAGTCAGCTCCTGCCCCCCCACCCCCCTTCCAGGGCAGGCCCCAGCTCGCCACATCCTGGAGCCAGGCATCAAGGCCAAGGTGCCAGCCCAGATGCCGCTCCAGCTGTTCCAGCCCTCTGCCCCACCCCCACCCCCAAGCCCTGTCTGGGTTCTTCTCACACCCACGCCGGACCCCATGCCCGATGCCCCTTGGACTGCTTCCAGAAAGTTTCCTCTGCCCCAGAGGTGGCCAGGGGAGGGTGGAGAGCTGGGAGCTGCCGGTCCCACACAGAAGGGGGCTGGCATTGTGGGTGAGAAGCGGTCAGGGGGGCTTGGCGGGACACTGGATTGTGGCTTGGCCTCGAAGGCAAAACCCAGTCATTAAAAAAAAATCACATTAAAAATTTAGCTGGTGTTCACGAACCTTAGTGTGGTGATCATTTCATAATATATACATGTATCACATCATCATGTTGTACACCTTAACCTCACACAGTGTTATCTGTCAGTTATGTCTCCATAAAGGTAGGGAGAACATCCACAGTGGATGTGCACTATCCCCCCGTACTCCCGGATCCAAATTCCTCATATACAGGGAAGGTAGATGTCCTCCATCCATCAACACTTGGGAAACCACAATCTCTAAGTCCCTCCTCCCACACCCTCCTGGGAGGAAGCGGGGCGCTTGGGGTGAGGCCAGGGGCAGAACAGGAGGGCAGGGAGAGGCTCTGAGCCATGCAGTGGCTGCCTCCAGGGGATGGTGATGTACTGGCCTGTCCGAGGGCCTTGCCAGGGGCTGGAGGCAGCACTGAGAGGTAGAGGGCACCACCATCCCCGTGCCCTTTGTTCCCCCAAGTTCTCTGAGCACAATAAAATGCAAGGGCACTGAATGCACTCTGAACTCCTGAGTCATATCCCGGAGGAAAGGACATCCTGGAAAGGTGGTGATGTCAGCCTGCGCTGGCTGATAGTAAGGCACCGGTGGTCACTCCACCCTGTGATGAGAGCGATGCGAGCATGAAGGGATGGGTGGGGGCAGGCTCTCGGTGGTCCTGTCAGTGCCGGGGTGGGTAGGGGTGGCACAGACGGATGAAGATCTCCATGGTGCTGTCAGTGCAGGGGTGAGTTCGGGTGGACTCTCCGTGGTTCTGTTGACCAAGCAGAGGAGCCAGAAACGGGACTGAGTCGCAGCACAGGGTAAGCGAGCGAGCCCACCCGGTGGTTGATCAATGCCTGGCTGTCATATCTGGTTTCTCCTGGTGACATTGGCTCCCAGGCCCATCACTGCTGCCCTTCGTCAGAGGCAAGTCTGGTTGCTGTTCACGGTGGGTGCAAATACCGATATCATTTCCCCGTCCCGGGGGTCCCACACCCCGAGCTTCTAGGAGGGGCTGCGTGGCTGTGCACCCTGGGAAGGAGGCACTCCCTCCAGGCCCAGACACTGAGGGGCCCCCAGAGGCCCCACCCCGCTGCCATGCCATCGGGACCGTGACCATAGCCAGGATGCCAGGCCACACTTACAGACGTAAATCAGGATCACCTATCTCACACGTGCTTTCAAAGCACAGCCTCTGTCCAGGAGGAGAGGTCAGAGATGTTGGGGCATCCAGAGCAGCCGCTGGCTCTGTGCCAGGAGCCCACGTCCCTGGACCAGAGAGGCACCCCTGCCCCAGGAGCTAGAACGATCTGGCTGGCAGTCGCCAGCACGTGGAGACTGGGTTCCCCGAGCCCAAGGACCCACACATGACAGTGGGCGAGGTCAGGAGTTCACTCTCCCCCAGACGAGCTAGCACTGTGAGTGAGGCTCCAGAGACCACAGTGGGGACCACAGATGAGCCACCCAGATGTGCCACCTGCTGAGTGCCAGTGTGTGCCGTTTGAAGCTGTGGAGTCTGGCCACTTGTAAGCGGCAAAGGGGGCCTACTGTCTGCTACCTGTCCCCACAAGCTGCTTACACCCAGGGGACAGAACTTCCCCAAGCAGTCGAAGGGTCTCATCACCTGGGCACCTTGGCCTTTGTGAGTCTCTCCTGCCCCTTCCTATCCCCCCATAGGCCCCACTGGCACCATCATGTCACCTGTGTGGCCTTGCACTTGGCTGGCCCAGTGCGTGACTCCCTGTGACCCTCGCAACCTTGTGGATGGCACCCTGGGACCTCCTGGACCGGGAATCTCGGCCCAGATGAAGACACCTGTCTGGCATCCATGTGTTAATATGACTGGATGGCTCCTAAGGGCCCCTTTCTCCCCATACTCCGATGCCCTTAAAATGCACTGAACTCCAGGCTTGCTGAATAGCATTTAGGGACCAGAGTCTCAGGCAGTGTAGGCTGCCCCAATGAACACCATGGACCAGGGGGCTTACACAAAACACATATATCCCTCACAGGTCTGAGGCTGGACCTCCAACATCCAGGTGCTAGCACATTCGGGGTCTGTGGGGACCCCCTTCCTGGGATCCTTGAGATCCTCACGTGGTGGGGACAGAGAGAGCCCTGGGCTCTTGTTCTCCTTATGAGGACATGAAGCCCGTCACGGGTCCCTCTTCCTAACACTGTCATCTGGGCTCATGCATGAATCTGGGGGGTGGGTGTGAACATGGGTCTGTGACAAGTCAGATATATGTCGCAACACACAGCCAGCACTAAAGACCCTCAGCACCACTAGTCTCTGGGGCCCCACTCAGCCCCGTGTCCCCTGCAGAATGGTCACAGAAGGGTGACGTGACTGGCAGCCTGTGACTGCCCCCAGCCAGCTGCGTTAGGACCCACTGTGCCTCAGTTTCCCCTGCTGACACACAGGTATGCAGCTGTCTCTCCTGATGTCAGCACAGGGGCCACCCAGCTCCAGGTCCCAAGGAGGTGAACCCGGGGTCTCTGCCCCGCACTGTGAGGGGGCCCAGGACCTAGCCTCACAACCCTTAGGCACCACGCTGAGCTGTCACTGGGTATCGGGGCTTTGGGTTAAACCCTCATCTTGCCCTCGGCCTCACAGCTGTTACAGGTGTGTAAATGGCTCCAGACAGGGATGGGAGGGGTGGGGGTGCAGCCAGCCGTCCCTCACTTACACCTCTGTCCCTCTGTCTGGGTCACAGTGAGGCCCCGACCCTACTACTTCCTTCACCCTGCACCTGGTGCCGTGATTCAGCCTGTGAGGAATGAGAGCACTTCTCCACAGTGCAGGGAGCCGTCCCAGAAGGTGCCCACACCCGGCTGCCTGGCCGGTTGTCACGCCCAATACCCTGAAGGCCCCTCAAACCCAGAGTCCCCTGACCCTGAGACACGGTCCTCCTCCTCTGAGCCTCTCCCCAGAGTCCCAGCCCTGAGAGACTTTCTGCAGGGCCGTCCACACGGCTGAGGGGCCAATGTCCAGGAGCAGGTGGCGGTGGCCCCGCCTTGGACCTGGGACAGGGTCCCTGAGCTGCAGACCACATGTGGCAGAGAGGCCGGCTCAGGCAGAGCAGACATGGCGCCCCCACAATCCTGGGAGATGTGTGAGGCACTCAAATGGAAGGTGGCCCACTAGGGAGTGTTCCAGGGTCCGGGGAACACACGGTTGCTTAACAGTTTAGCGATAGCTTGTTTCTCAGGAACCGGGGGATATCACCTTCAACCCAGAGCGCACATGCGTGCGGCCTGGAAAGCGGCCCCTGGACTCCAGTCCCAGCCTGTGGCTGGGGCCACGTGAGCCGCGCCTGCCGCCCGCCAGCGTTAATGGTTTTCTCCCTCCCGGGAGGGCAGCGCTGTGGAAGTCTGGGCGCCTTGCCAGGCCATCCTGCTCAGGGTGGAGCGGAGGCGCTGGCTGTAACACGCAGGGGAGGGATGGGCTGATGGCCGTCACCCGCGGGCTTATATCACGATGGTGCAGCGGGGGTGGAGGGCACAGAAGCGGCTCTGGGCAGAGGAGCCCCACTCGCCCCACAGATGCAGGAGGCACCTGTGCACTGTTCCTGCAGGTCTTGTGGGGCAGCAGCCTCTTACGTGTCTGTGAACCTGGCTGGGTTTCCTCCTGCAGTAAATCTCAGCAGGCACAGGGTGCCTGTGGGCTGTGGGCTCCGCTCCATCCTCGCCTGTGGCCCTGTGTGCTCCGGGGTGAGCAGAGACTTTGTGAAGTTCCCAAGGACTGTGGGACCACATCTGCCTGAGGCTCCAGAAGGGGCTCTGAGCAGTGGGGTGGCATGTCCATCTGCACCTTCTTGAGGAAGCGCTCTGTGGCCCCCGCCCTGCTGGCCCCCTTCTCCAGGCCCCGCAGAAGCCGGCAACGTCTTCTCTTGTCCTTCGAGGACACAGAGCTGCACATGGGCCCCGGGGGAACAAGGAGGTCGGGGGCCCACACTCTCCCTGTGGGTCTCTGCCCAGGAGGGCTCTGGATGGTCCCATGGCTCTCTGTCTTGGGGACAAGGTGTGAGGTCTCGCCGAGCCCTGAGGGCTCCCTAGAAGACGGAAAGGGGTCTGTCCTGTCTGTATGGAGCTGTCTGGGAGCCACAGGGGCCACGGACTCCTCCAAGGGCATTCTCTCTGCACCCTCCATGCACTGGGGACCACTGGGAGACCCCTACTTGCCTCCACGCTCCTGCCCTCTTCTGCCTAGAAGACCCCTGTGGGAATTTGTGCAACTTGGGCACTGGGAGGGCCCGTGGGGGGTTGCTGCAGGACCCTGGTCCGTGCTGGGTCCCCTCCCTGCCTGCAGCCCCCCCCCCCAAGCCCCGCCGGCTGAGCCGGGATTACTGACACATACTTTGAACAAGTCCTGGCAGGCGGGCAGAGACTCCTGTGCCCACGGCCATGCATTTGCCCGCTTCCCTGGGCGGCTGCAGCACGTTTTGTTGGGGAAGGAATGCAGAGGCACCAAAGCGTGAGACACCTCCAGGGTGTCACCTGGGGAGGCTGTGAGGGAGACCGAGGCAGCGCTGCCCAGCGTGCTGTGGGGATCCGGCCCCAGAGCTGGGAAGTCAGCCAGGAGGTGTCCCGGGAGGAGCCCAGCCAAGGGGCTTCTGTTTTTCACGGGAAAGATCCATCATTCACTCTGGAGGTGGGGGTGTCAGGTCTCCGGGGCCGGAGGGCTCTGCCTTCCTGGGCCTCCACTCCTGCTCCCCATGAAGTGCAGCTCACCACCTCCCAGCACCGTGTGGGCACGACCGTCACCTTCAGCAAGCCCATCTGGAGCCACTCCGCCTCTGGAGACTTCTGAGCCCTTCACCCGGGCTTGGAAGGAGCAGACGCAAACTCTCGCATGTGGACAGTGCTGGGTGGCTGACTGTGGAGGGACGCTGGTCCACAGGCAGGATCCCCCACCCAGGCCTGCCGGGCAACGTAGAAGGTGTTCCCTGACCTAACAACTTGGGTTTGGGGTTTTTCAAGTGTCCAACCCACTATTACAAAGTGCATAGAAATGCTGCATGAGAACAGTACATAATACAAAACCCAACAGGTCACAACAGCCAGGACATCCCCAAGCGTCCCCTGTCTTCCATTTCTGTTCTTATTTCTTCACGGACAACTGTCCCAGGACGGGCCCCGGGGGCCACTTGCAGCGTGACTGCTCCTTTCATTGAGACTCCAGTCCTGGGCCACGCCCGCCAGCCCCTGGGGGCTGGAGATCTGTACCCGGGAGCTGGGAGGGAAGCACAGCTTTACAGCTTTTCTCTAAGACCATTTCCTCCATCTCCTCCCCCATTGTATTGCCTGCCACAAAGGATTCTAGCAGGTTTATGCAAATAAAACAGAAAATTGTCTTCTAAAACAGCGAGCCCAGTGAGACACAGGGGACACCCTGGCTGGGAGAGACAGTCTTGAGTGTGTGGGCGGTCAAGTCGGGGGAGCCCCAGGTGGGGGTGCAGATGTGGACCTGGTGGTTCTGACCATGCGTGTTTCACCTGTGGCCATTTCTCACGTGGCCCCTTGATACAAGGATGGCCACTGGTGGGCTCCCCGCACCCTGAGATCCTACAACACCAGAGGAGTGACACCATCTGGTGTCTGGATTCCTCTGATCTTATGACCTCACTACTGTCCTCACCAGCCTCAGGGCTAAAGAGAGAGGCAGAGAAAGAGGGAGAGAGACAGAGACAGGGAGAGACAGAGACAGGGAGAGATAGAGAGACACAGAGAGACAGAGACAACAAGAGACAGAGAGAGATAGAAACTAGGAGAGACAGAGACAGCGAGAGACAGAGAGATAGAGATAGGGAGAGATAGGGAGAGACAGAGACAGGGAGAGACAGAGAGACAGAGAGAGACAGAGACAGATACATAGCGGCAGGCAGACTGGAGAAGTGAGCGGCAGGGGTGCCCTGGGGAGGGGCGCAGGGGTGCAGAGTCACCAGAGGCAAGGCAGCTCCGGGAAGGCTTGTGTGTAGGCCCTGCTGTCTGAGCAGGTGAGCCCTCAGGTCCCAAGTCATCTGACACAGGCCACCCCTCACCCTGGTGGCTCACCCCTGGGGCCATAGTGGCGCCTCCAGAATGCTCCTGGCTGGCTACTCTCTCTGACCTCAAACACACACCCCACAAAACACCTGCACCCCACAAACACAGAGGAGACCCATGTGGGGGCCCGAGGGGCAGCATGGGACAGGGGCATGCAGAAGAAGCTCTGGGAGGTGGGCAGGCTTGTTGCTTAGTTGGCCTTCCAGGTGGCAAGCAAGGCATAGGGGCCAGATACTTGCTTTTAGCTGGGAGTCCCCTGCCAGGAAATCTGTGTGGGGGCAGTGGTTAGGGACGGTGAGACGACTCTGGTGGGGGGGGGGGGGGGGAGAACCAGGGAGCACTGCAGTGGGAGCACGTCCCAGGCCACAGATCTGACCCGGGTGGCTTCACAGGGGAATGTCCTGGGTTAGCCCGGGTGGCATCTGCTCCCAGCACAGAGGCTGTGGAACGCAGGGTCTGACTCAGATGGGTGAGGCTTTTTGTGCTGATGAAGACAAGGCAGCTAGCTGCTGGCCACTGGGGCTGTCACTGCAGGGCAGTGAGGGAGTGAGGTGGACGGCAGAGGGCAGGCTGGCCAGAACAAGCAGGACACGGTGGGAATGGGGCAGAACAGCCTGGTGGGGGTAGTGGGGGGCCTGGCCTCTGCTAGGGGCCCAGGTTAGGCCCAGGGGGCTTACAAGATGCCTGCAGCCCAGACTCAGGGACACAGGAGGAAGGGGCTCAGAGCACGGCACAGAGCTCTGGTGCCTACAGAGTACTGTTCTCCGTGTTCCGCGCATCCTGTGTTTGCTTAGTTCTAATTCCGTGACACTCCTGTCTGCTCAGAGGAGTGGTGCAGCCCTGTCACCTCTCTGGTTCCTTTCCTGGGAGCCCCCCCCCCCCATCTGTCACAGGATCGCATAAGGAGCCCACAAGGCACGCTCTCAATGTTCAGGTCGTGGGACTGTGACCGGGTCTGGGCTCCGCAGGGACCTGCCCCTGGCACCGAGGGTGAGGGCCGGGTGAGGGGCGCTTCCGCCCCGCACTGGGGAGCGGTGGCTTTGGGATTCCCTGCAGGGCGGCGGCCAGCTCCTCCACCCTCCCACCAGGAGCCACACCAACTTCAAAAGCCTAATTACTCCCGATTTGGGCTGTTTCCTCAGCGTCCTGGCAGGTGAGAAAGCCCCCGTTACTTTCACTTTTATATGCAAGGTGTGGGGAGAAGGGGGGTTGCGTAGCTTCGCTGGGGGAGGGAGGGAGAAACGGAACAACCAATTAGGGGAGGCTGAGCGTGAAGGTGAGAAGTTATAAAGAGAGGGTCCCTCAGCCGCACTGGGGGGAGGGAGGGCTGGGGAGAGGAGGGGCCACGAGGGGAAGGTCCTCCAGGTAGGGCGTGCAGACAGGAAAGCTTTCCCCAGCTAGAAAACCCTGAGTCTCTCCCTGGGAGCCGTCCTTCCGGTCTACTTGGCCTGGGAGCCTGTGGGGGTACAGCTCCTTCCCCTGCAGCTGGCCGGGGCAGAGAGGACGAAGGAGGGTAAATCCGCTGTCCCCAGGGAACCCTGAGACTGTGTCCACCACAGACGCTTCTCCTCAAGAAGCAGAATCCCCAAGCGTGAGAATCCCACCAGGAACAGAGTTGGGGTTCGGGGGCACCCTTCTCTCTGGGGCCAAGGGCTGCTCCAGAATCTTGCTGGGGTGGATTGCCCGGAGGAAGGGCCTCTCCCGCTGACCTGGGGAGCGCAGGGTGCCGAGCAAGTGCGGGTGCGCTCACATGGAACACATGTGGTCGGGGTGGAAAGGGGGGCATACCTGTGTTTGGGGGGGTGGTAAGGCCAGGGAGCCTCAGGGCCAACAGGACAAAGATCCTGAGGTGTGGGGTGGCCAGGAGGTTGGTGACAGGGCCCTTCCTTTCGGGAGGAGCGCGGGGGCGAAGGGCGCTTCCTCCTGTGCCCAGGAATGCGGCGGCGGGTTCTAATTAGAAGCTTGCGCTGGAGTGGGCGGCCTCGGGGCTCTCTCGGACGTGCCCCCCAGCTCCCCGCGGCCGGCGAGGCGGGCGTCAGGGTCCCCGAGGCCGCAGCCCACGCTCCAAGGCCACAGGGCGCTGCAGGTGCGGCGCGCGCCGGTGAGGGACGCCCCGGGTCCCCGAAGAGCGGCCCAGCAGCCTCTCCCAGGTCCCTGGACTGGCCCGGGCCTCCCCTCC